CGTAAAAAAATTGCTTGAGCCCCAGCCCCTAATTGCTTGAGCCCCATAACCTTTCATTGCAAACTGAACTCTGGATTAAGGGGCTGGAGGGATTTGCTGATGAAGATTAGGAAGGAAATGGGTAACGTGAAATCCTGTCCCAGTGGCAAAACTCATTGATTGGAGTTGGGCCAGGATTTTACCCATCCAGTTTAGCCAAATGATGCCCAAATATGGAGGGAGAAGGGGCTTTCTTTGAAATAGAGCTGATCAAAAACCAGGGTAAAATAGGGAAACTTTTGCAGATTTTCATCAAACTGGTCAGAAGATGGAAGAGAAAGATCAGCCAATTGTTGTTCTTGGCTTTTGTTGAAAAAAATTGTTGACAAAAAAATCCTGAAAAGTTCTAATTCGAAAGCTGTAAACTCTGAGGAGAGCAATTGTTTGGGATGCTCCAAAGGGGTGTAATTAGCAGGAATGGGATGAAGCTGACGAAAGTAAATTAAGGCTGAATGTTTAGAAATGTTTCCTGATGGTGAGGTGTATTAGATCTTGGATCAGAGAAGTTACAGAAGTCCCATCACTCAAATAATTTAAAACTGGACTAGATAAAAATGGAGAATTGACTTTAGGGGAAAGCCTAAGTCTGGTCCTGAAGCAGAAGCTAAATGTAACCCAAGAGGAGCCTTTCCATCTCTAGCAGCTCTATTCTGCACACAATGTTACAGGTGTGATTTATGTGATCAGGGCTATGGAGAGTTGTACACTGTTATACCCGTGTTCTACAGGCCATTCCATGCTGAAACGGGGAGGGGAGATTAGTGAGGAAGGACAGATTCTCTCACCTGTGTTTGTGCAGTTGATTTCCACAGTGGTGCTAGAGACTGTGGGGAGTTCACAGAGCGCTAGCCTCGCAGTGTCGGATATAATGCTGGTTTGGCATAATGCTGTAGCCACGTGAAGCAGCACGACCTCCTTGGAGTGCCTCTTGACTGGGTGTTCCTTGCTCACCGGTGAGATCCCATTGCTCTGCACCATCTCGTACAGGATGTGGTACAATGAGGTGTAGACGTGGCCATTTTTGACTGGGATCTGAAGGACTTTGGCGCAGTCCTGGCTGAGTTTCTGAAGCCAGCCTGTCACTGGGGGCTGGAGTTCCTCCTTCTTGTCTAGGTGCTGCTGGAACTGAGCGAGTGCCCTGCGGAAGTGGTAATGTCCCTGCTGCTCTTCGGGTCGTAACACTGGGTACTTGCCTACCTCCATGGTTTCCCCCAGGATGCTGATCCCGAATCCATTGAGGATTTTGTTGCCAGGATATTCAGCCAGAACGTTTTGGCTCTTATTCTGAGAAGCCCACCACCAAGCCTGACCTCCAATCAGCAGGCCCCCTCCTTCTGCCACAAACTCATGGATCTTCTCGGCTTCGTTGTCACTGTAGGACTGGCAGCAGTAGATGTTGAGATTGTCGGTAAGCTCTGAGATCTCGCACACCACCTGCCTTTGAGTCAACAAGTCATGAAGGTTCTTCAGATTGGGATTGATGCCAATTCTCCCTTTCTTCTCAGCACCCAGCCAGTGAATGGCATTGAGGATGAAGTCTGTGAGCTTCGGGGTGCTAAGAAGATCCTCATGTGTTGCCACCACCACACGGCCCTGGCCATAGTGAGATGCAGCAAGAAAGCATTGATAGGCGTCGTCTAAACCCAGGGGGAAGGCCAGTGTGCCATGGACCAGCAGGTGAGAGGGGACACCATCTGTCACTATGTCTAGCTCTGACACACCTCTTAGGAGAAGGTTTAAGTCTCTGCTGAAATCTAGCCCATGCCTGCAAAACCAAGAGATGTTCCTGTCAAGCCACATGCCAGCACTGTCACAGCGTCATGAGATGGAAGAGGAAGCTTGTGTAGTATCTCTGCTCTGCCCTACAGCAATATCCAAATATTCTGAAATCACCTTACAAAGATCTCTTCACTTTGAGATCTACTGATGGAAACTTCTAGGCATTATTATTAGCTGCCTTCATCAGAGAGACTGTGCTCCACCTGTAGTTGCAATTGTTCTGAATAATCATTCTAAAGCAGGGGTTCTCAAACTTTATTGCACCGTGGCCCCCTTCTGACAACAAAAAGTATGACATGACACCAAGAGGTGGGACCATAGCCC